TTTTAGTCAAAATAAGAACTTCAGTCATATTTATGTATTTTGTGCAGCACTCAACAGACATAAAAGGTGCAGTGAATCAGAATAACATTCATTGTGAAATGAACATCAAAGAGACCCCTAAAGATGAAATGGAGCTTCAGCCTCTGTGTGGTCTCTGCTTAGGAAGGGAAGGGGATTTTCTGGAACTGGCATTTCTGAACACAAGACCATATAATCTGATGGGCTGCACTCTGTTTTGAAATAGTATTTGTATCAATTTGGCTAAGAACCTTTTGTTTCATTTTTGTCCTCTAACAAAGAAGTATGATGCTTTAAGATCTGTTTAGAAGGGCAGCAGTTCTGTGCCCATGCTCCATCAGTCTCCTAACAGCTTCTAAATTTTGAATGGCATGACTCCTACCTCCAGACTATCATCCCTTTTTATATATTCTTTTTGGTTTCTAGTTTTGTTAGAAAAAATCCTTGCTAGAAATGTGGTGCGTAAATATGGTTCAAGTGGGCACATCATATAGAACAATGTTGAACTGGAGTGGGTTTCGTTCATGTACAGTGGCATACTAGGTGCTTTGCAGACCCAAGGAACTCAGGGCTTGATTTTAATACAAATAATACCAAGATTTTAAGATATGTATTTAATAGGTTTTTTTTGGTAAAATTTTATCATGAAATAGGTTCTCTCTCAAAAGATGGCTATGCCACTCCCATTTAAAATTGTTCATTTGTCCCGTAATTTCAGGGTAAAGTTCAAATGCCAGTTTCTCCTGTAACTCCTTCCTTCGACCATTCAGAACTGATTTTAATTTCTGGAATATATCTTGCTGTTTCACACTCACGTGTTTTCACACATGCTTTTCCCTCTGCTTGAGTGTGATTGCCCTTGACTTATAACGGGCCCCCTCAGAAGCAGACTCTGAAACAAGAACTCAAGTGGAAGTAGTTTCTTTGGGAGGCAACCCCAGGAAACATGGTAGAGGTGTGGAGGAGTGAGCTAAAGCAGGGCAGGGAAGGAAGGTGATAAGGTTGAGTTATAAGCCAGATACCACTGTGGACAACTGGGGCTCAATACCCCTGCTTAACTCAGGCAAACAGTCTAGAACATGTTTCAGGGTAAGCTCACCAAGGGGCCATGTTGTTCAGCTACTTATATGTAAATTTGTGAAAACCTGCATCCTAAGGGTGAAGATTCTCCTGCATTTTTTGCCCGTCGCAAGCAGAGTGGGCACCCCCTACCAGAGAAAGTCCTCAGATAAAGAAAGGCAGGGGATGGCAGCTGAAAGTCAGGTTGCCATGCACTGAAGTGTCAAGGAACAAGGGGACATGGGCAGGGTACCCACAGCATCTACTGTAATGCTTCTTCCCACTTAGCTAACTCCACTTCAACCCTGAGAACTCAACTTAAGCCTCACCTCTTTTGAAAAGGCTTTACAGACTTCCTTTTGCTTCCTGTTTCCCAATAGAACCTGTGTCTGCTTCCACCAGTCTGTTACTCTCTACTCTGATTATTGTTTTACTTTTCATATTATCCACTTCCTTGTGAGCTCCGGGAGGGAAGGGATTGTCAACTTGTGTCCTCAGGGCCTAACATACTTCTGCACCATTCCTATTTAACTGTCTTCACCTCTGGGTATGATCCTTTCTAACTGGAAGGGACATGTGCTTCCTCTCCACAATACATACGTTTGCTTTTTTGAACTTTTGACATGTTACCATCTCTCTCCTTGAATGTTCTACACATCCAGTCCAATCTATGGCAAATCCTATGGTTAATGAATGGTTGTTTTGTAGTAAAAGTAGTAGTAATAATGACATCATAATAGTAACACAAGTCCAGTTGCCATTGAGTTGATTCTGATTCCTGGTGAGGAGAACTATGCTCCATAGGGTTTTCAGTGGCTGATTTTTTGGAAGTAGACTGCCAGGACTTTCTTCTGAGGAACCTCTAGGTGGACTTGAACCGCCAACTATTTGGTTAGCAACTGAGTGTGTTAAGCATTTGCACCATCCATGGAATAGCCAATATTGGCTATTATTGAATGTTCATTTCGTGAAAGTATGTTACGTATATTACTAATCCTATGATGTAGGAATTTTTTTATCCCCATTTTCCAGATGAGGAAACTCAGACATAGGATCTACATAATTTGCACAAGATGGCACAGTTATATGTGGTTGGACCTGGAAGTAAATAAACCCAAACAGTCTGAGTACAGAACCCAGACACTTAACCACTGTATGAATGAATGAGTGAATGAGTATAATGAATGAATGAATGAAAAATAACACCAAGTCTGATCTTTCAACTTATGGGGTTCTTTCTGAATATGATGTCATCAGTACAGTGAATAATGTTCAAATGTTAGTTCAAATGTCACCTCTTCCAAGAAGCCTTCCCAGTAGCCTAACTGGATTGTATATCCTTCTTCTGACACCTTATGTAATGGCAGTGACTACTCTACCATGGAAACCTTGGTGGCATAGTGGGTAAGAGTTTGGCTGCTAATCACAAGATCAGCAGTTTGAATCCACCAGGCACTCCTTGGAAACCCTATGAGGCAGTTCTTCTCTGTCCTGTAGGGTCGCTATGAGTAGGAATCGACTTGACAGCAATGGGTTACTCTACCATATGTTGAAATTTATCTACATGATTTAGTGTCCTTACTCATGATAAGATTCTGGACAACTGCTTAAGTATCTGATTTATCTTGGTTTTCTTTACAGCCCAACACAAAGCCTTAACACAAAAAGTTGCCAATGAGTGTTTTCTATGTGGACAAACAGATGCATGGGCAACAAGCAAAGGGAAATTTGACTCTTCCTTTATTTTTCCTCAGAAGATGCAAAGACTGTTTTTCATTCCTTCAGAGACTCCAGAGAGTTTGTTGTCATAGGGACTTTAGATGGTTCTGGAAAATAAAATTCTGTTTAAATTTTTTAAATTCTGGGAGGAATCCATGAAGAGTTTAGTTCATAACATTTTGATAATCATTTGAATAGAAAATTATAATTTCTAAGAAATATTCTTTCTCCCAAAATTGCATTCATAGCAGGAATGAAAGAAAGAAAATTATATAGAAAATTATTAATGTTTCTAATATGTTTGGATGGTAGAAAATTTAAAAGTTTAACTATGACCAACAAGATTTACCTTTCTAAAACCACAGATTAAAAGTATTTCCCATTTCCACTGATTAATGTGTCTTTAATGCTCATTAATAATTGATACTTACAAGAGTGTCATGATTAATAAATCCAGCTAAATAACTAAACTGTAAAGCCCATATCTAGGAGGAAGTGCAAATATTTACCAAGCCTCTATTGTCTTCAAAGCACTGTACAGATACATGGGGTCCAAGTATGTATAAGGTATGTTGGAAATAATAGAAATTCAATTCAGCATAAATTTCTTGAGTATTGATTCTAATGTATAAAATGAATTACATTAGTTAATGCAAAGGCACATAAGGCATAGTCTTCATCTTCACAGAATTTATGATCTGGAAATGGCACCTAGAAGACAGACACATTAACAAATACTAACTATGGGATTGATGGTAATAATAGCTAGTATTTATCACTTACGTCAGTTGCTGTCCTGTTGCTTTACCTAGCATTATCTCACTTAATCCTTATAACCACTCTGTATTAGGCAGTATTATTATCTCTATTTTTCAGGTGATAAACCTGAGACTCAAGAAGGTTAAGCAAATTGTCCAAGGTTGCATGGCTAGAGAATGGGTGGGTGGAGGAGTTAGAATGCAGATCTATGTCCATATACCCTTAAAGTTTAGACTCAGAGGGCATTAAACTAAGGCGCTCCAAGGAGAACACTATTCATTCAAACTTGTGTCAGGCAGATGCTTCACAGCTATAGTGCCTACACCAGGCCTTGAAGGATGAAGGAGAATAGAGATGGAGCAAGGCATTGCTACCAGAACCGAGTCAGGCGGTAGAAGCCAAAAGGGACCTTGAAAGAACAGGGAAGAGTTTAGTGTTACTATCTGTGTAGGTGGTAGCATGAGTGTAACAGGGGTGGTGAAACTGAGGAAGGTGATTGGACCCAGATATTGCTGGACTTGAATGTTACCCTAAAGAGTCTAGACTTTTCTCATTAGGCAGAGGGGGGCCACTGAATAGTTGTGAACAAGAATAGATCTGTATTTTAAATTGATTTGACAGCCATATATAAAGTGAATTGGAGTCAGGAGTGGGAAGAGGAGAGAACAGTTAGGAAACTACTAAAACAGTCAGAGCAAGTGGTATTGAGAGTCTGAATTCAGGTCCCAACAATGTGGATAGAGAGGAGGCAACAAGGACACATCGCAGCATTTGCCCTTGACTGGACGTGGGGAACATTCAAAGGGAAGAGATGGCAACATGTCAGAAGTTCAAAAGAGCAAACATGTGTCTAATGTGGAGAAAGCATGTGCCCCTTCATTTAAAAGGGATCATACCTGGAGATGAGGAGAGTTAAATGGCAATGATGCAACTGATGGGGAAACTTCAAAGCACGTGGTTAAAAGTTTGGATTTGCACGCATAGCAAACTAGCACTGTTCATGGTACAAGTTCAGGTTTTCACATCCATCATGTTGGCCTACAACAAAATGGCAATGTCCATGTTTCTCAGATCCTTCAGACAGGCATACATGTCTCTAACAAATGTGGGAAATGTGGTATTTAAAGTCTGTGACTTTTAACTTTGAGGAATTGAATTGATCAAAGTGATCATGCATTACTCTTATAAGTAAAAATAAAAGTTATTGCATATACAGTTTGTAGAAGGTATATAATATAAAAAATGTAAACAGTGGTAAATTGTACTCCAGTGCTTACCTTTCTTCCTATTCCAGTGCAATAATATAAGACAGTAGAAATGTATGATTTAATTTCCTCTTTTCTACTGGGCTTTTCTTTTTCTTTGATTTGTTTTGTTAGTAAAATTAGAGAATTTGACTTTCTAGCCTTCATAAAGTTTTACTTATCTTTTCTATTCTTTAATAGATGATAACAATGAAGAAGAAGATGTGGACATGAAAGAAGATTCAGGTATTAAATTCATGATTTTATTACTTAGGGGATAGACAGGAATTATCTTGCTGTTTATGTACTCCTCATATTTTTTCATAAAAAGACAAAATAAGGATAATAAAATAGAAATGTACCTTTTTTTACACTTAAGAAACTAGATATGCTTCTCAAAACAACAAATTTCATTTAGGTGTATCTCAATTATTAATACATTTAACTATATAAATCTAATAGTAACCAGTTGCCTTCAAGTTGATTCCGACTCATCGTAACCCCATGTGTGTCAGTGTAGAACTATGCTCCATAGCGTTTTCTTATCTTTTTTTTTAATAATTTATTTTATTTCGTTGTTGTTGTTGTTGAGAATATACACAGCAAAAGCACATACCAATCAAGTTTCCATATGTACAATTCAGTGACATTGATTACATTCTTTAAGTTATATAACCATTCTCACCCTCCTTTTCTGAGTTGTTCCTCCCTCATTAACATAAACTCATTGCCCTCTAAGTTGCCTGTCTAATCTTTAAAGTAGCTGTTGTTAATTTTACCCCATAGAGATAGATCTTAAAAGAGCATAAAGCTTACGGCAGACTTTCATTACTATTTTAGCTAAAGTATTGTTGGCTTTTAACAAGACTTCAGGGGATATTTTTAGTTTAAAATTTAAAGATTATCTTAGGGCAATAGTTTCAGAGATTCATCTGGCCTCCACAGCTCCAGAAAGTCTGGAGTCCTTGAGAATTTGAAATTCTGTTCTCCATTTTCCCGCTTTTGATCAGGATTCTTCTATAGAATCTTTTATCAAAATGTTCAGTAATGGTAGCTGGGCACCATCCAGTTCTTGTGGTTTCATGTCAAAGGAGGCAGTTGTTCACGGAGGCAGTGTTCCATTTTCTCTTCCTATTCCTGACTCTCCTCTTCTTCCTCTGTCGCTCTAGGTGAGTAAAGATCAATTGTTGTGCTTTGGGTGGTCACTTGCAAGCTTTTAAGACCCCAAGCACTGTGCAACAAACTAGGAGGTAGAAAGAAGCACTAAGCAAGTTATTACGCCAATCAACTGGGATGCCTCATGAAACTATGCCTAAACCTCAAAACCAAGGAAATAAATCCCATGAGGTGTTCGGTTGTATATAAATAGCCTCAGTAGCTACTCTTTTCTTTTTTTTGTCATTGTCATAAATATATCTATTGCATAACTTTTGCAAAATCAACATTTTACAGGTGTACAACTTATTTGAAGCAATTACATTAATTGGCTGTGTAACTATACCCTTAATCAATGATATTTTTCCATCACCATAATCAGAAACTTAGTATTCCATAAGCAATAACCCCTCTTCCTTTCCCCTTCTTCCTGCCCTTGGTAACCACTAATAAACTTTGGTCTCTGTACATTTGCCTGTTCTTGTCTCTTTATAAAAGTGAGGTCATACGACATTTGTTCTTTTGTGATTGACTTATTTCACTCAGCATAATGTCTTCCGGCTCTAGCCATGTTGTAGCGTGTATCAAGACTTCATTTCTCTTACTGGCTGAGTAGTATTCCATTTTATGTATGTACCACATTTTATTAATTTATCTCTTGATGAACATTTAGCTTGTTTCCACCTTTTGGCTATTATGAATAGTGCTGCAATGACATTGTTGTACAAGTATCTGTTTGAGTCTCGGCTTTCAAGTCTTTTGGGTATATACCTAGGAGTGGAATTGCCAGGTCATATGATAGTTATAGTTGTATTTTCAGTGTACCATTCTGCATTCCAACCAGCACTGGAAAAGGTTCCAATTTCCCCATATCCTTGACAACATTTATTATTTTCAGTTGTTTTTCTTTCTTTTTTTTTTTCTAAGCCATCCTAGTGGGAATGAAATAGTAGACTCACTGTGGTTTTGACTTACAACTCTCTGATGGCTAATGATGTCAAGCATCTTTTCATGTATTTCATGGCCGTTTGAATACCTTCTTTGGTAAAATTATCTATTCAAGTCCTTTTCTCTGCATATTGAAATCTAACTTTCCCAACACCATTTATTGAAGAGACTCTTATTTCCCCCATAGAATGGATTTATCAACTTTGTCAAAAATCATTTGACCATAGATGTATGAGTTTATTTCTGGACTCTCAATTTGATTCCATCGGTCTATGTGTCTATTATTATTCCAGTACCAGGCTGTTTTGATTACTGTATCTGTATATGTTTTAAAATCAGGAAGTGTTAGTCCTCCTTCTTTCATCTTCTCTTTCAACATTGTTTTAGCTATTCAGGGACTCTTACCATTCCGTATAAAGTTGAGGATTGGTTTTTCTATTTCTGAAAAGAAGGCCATTGGAATTTTGACTGGGATTGCATTAAATCTATAGATTGCTTCTAGTATTGATACCTTAATAACATTAAGTCTTCCATTCCATGGACATAGAACATCTTTACATTTATTTAAGTCTTCTTTAACCTCTTTCAGCTGTGTTTTATAATTTTCATTGTATAAGTCTGTCACATCCCTGGTAAAATTTCTTCCTGGAATTTTATTCTCTTAGATGCTATTGTAAATGGAATTGCTCCCCTAATTTCCCTTTTAGATTTCTCATTGCTAGTGTATAGAAACCCAACTGATTTTTGTGTGTTGACCTTGTACCCTGCAACTTTGCTAAATTTTTTTTATTAGCTTTAGAAGTTTTCTTTCAGACTTTTTGGGATATTCTGTATATCAGATCATGCCATCTGCAAATAGAGATAATTTTACTTCTTCTTTTCTAATATGGATAGCTTAAAATTTTTTTCTTGTCATATTGCTCTGGGTAGAACTTATGATACCATATTCAGTAGAAGTGGTGAGAGCAGCACTCTTGTCTTGTTCCCTGTTTCAGAGGGAAAGCTCTCAGTCTTTCTCCATTAAGTATAATTTTGGCTGTTGGCTTTTCATATATGCCCTGAATTATTTGAAGAATTTACCTTCTATTCCAATATTCTTTGGGGTTTTCAAAGAAAGTGTGTTGAATTTTTCAAATGCTTTTTCTTCTTTCATAGAGATGACCATGTGGTTCTTTTCTTTTGTTCTACTGATGAAGTGTATTACATTGATTGATTTTCTAATGTTGAACCATCCTTGAATTCCTGGAATAAATCCCATTTGGTCATGGTGTATGATGCTTTTAATATGGACTCTGTTCACTATTATTTTGCTGCATATTTTTACACCTATAAGGGATATTGTCCTGTAGTCTTCTTTTCTTGTAGTGTTTTTGTCTGGTTTAGGTATCAAAGTTAGTTTGCTTCATAGAATGAATTAGGGTGTGTTCCTTCTATATCTTTTGGAAAAGATTAAACAGTATTGGTGTCAATTTTTCTCTAAATGTTTGGTAAAATTCCTCAGTGAAGCCATCTGGTCCAGAACTGAAATGTACTTTTAATGTCATAAAATAAAAAAATAAAAAAAAATAAACCAAACCCATTGCCATCGAGATGATTCCGACTCATAGCAAACCTATAGGACAGAGTAGAACTGCCTCAAAGGGTTTCCAAGGAGCAGTTGGTGGATTTGAACTGCCAACCTTTTAGTCAGCAGCCGAGCTCTTAACCACTGTGCACCCAGGTTCCCATAAAATAAGGAAGTAATTTAAAAAATTCTTAGAATTAAATAAGAATGAAAACACATCATACAAAAACCTTTGGGACATGCAAAGATAGTGCTCAGAGATCAGTTTATAACAATAAATTCACATGCCAAAATCAAATTGTTAGCCCTACAACTTGGAAAATAGAGAACAGCAAAAGAAGCTCACAGCCACCAGAAGAAAGAAAACAATAAAGATTAGAGCAAAAATAAATAAAACAGAATAAAAAAACAATAGAAAGAATCAACATGACCAAAAGTTGGTTCTTTGAAAAGATCAACAAAATTGACAAACCACTGGCCAAATTGGAAAAAGAAAAACAGAATAGGAGCAAATAACCCAAATAAGAATTGAGATGGGGAATTTTACAATATACCCAGCTGAAATAAAAAATATCATAACAGAATTATACTCCAAAAAATTTGAGAACCTAGAGGAAATGGACAAATTCCTGGAAATACACTACATACCTAAACTAACACAAGCTGAAACAGAAAATCTGAACAGACCAATAACAAGAGAAGAGATTGAAGAGGTAATGAAAAAACTCCCAACAACAACAAAAAAAAGCCCTGGCCTGGATGGCTTCACTGGATATTTATACCAAACATTCATAGAAGAACTCACACCAGTACTACTCTAAATATTTCAGAGCAGACAACGATCACAAAAGAGGGTCTAAGACAGAGCTGGAGAAAAATGTAGAACAAAATTCTAACTCGTGAAAAAAAAAAAAAAAGACCAAACTTACTGGTCTGACAGAGACTGGAGAATCCCCAAGAATATGGCCCCTGGATACCATTTTAGCTCAGTAATGAAGTCTAAAGTACAAAAAAAAGAAAAAGAAAAAAAAATATTTCAGAGCATAGAAAAGGAAGGAACACTCCTGAATTCATTCTATGAATACAGCATAACCCCGATACCAAAGCCAGACAAAGACAACAGAAAAAAAGAAAATTGCGTCTGTATTTTCATGAATCTACATGCAAAAATTCTCAAGAAAAATCTAGCCAATAGAATTCAGCACCATATCAAAAAATATATATATACCATGACCAAGTGGGATTCATACAGACAGGTAAGGATGATTCAACGTTAGAAAATCAATCAAGATAATCCACCACATAAATAGAACAAAAGACAAGATTCACGTGATCATCTCAATTGACACAGCAAAGGTGTTTGATAAAGTCCAACACCCATTCCTGGTAAAAACTCTCAGTAAAATAAGAATAGATAGGAAATTCCTCAACATAATACAGGGTATCTATACAAAACCAACGGCTAACATCATTCTCTGAAAGCGTTTCCCCTGAGAAAGGAAACAAGACAAGGATGCCTTTTATCACCACTCCTGGAAGTGCTGGAAGTCCTAGTTAGAGCAATAAGGCAAGAAAAAGA